ACCGCACCCAGCCTGGGTGACAGAGCGAGACTCCGTCTCGGGGTAATGGGGGTGGGGGAAAAAAAAAAAAAACGTCCATTGGGCGCCAGCAACACACCAGGCCCAGCTCCCTGCGTGACTCCATTATCAGCAACTTGGGGTAGACTATAATTAACCCCGTTTCCACATGGGAAGCTGGGCTCAGGGATCTGTCATGTATCTCCCAAAGTCACTGCTGTTGTGACTAGTAAGAGGCATCGGGATCCCAGCTCAGGTCTCCTGGGTTCTGATCACTCCACCTCCCTTTTCCTAACCCCTCTTCTCCCTGCCTGTGTTTCAGCATCACGATGGCCGTCATTTCATTCACATCAGACACAGCAGCCTGTATTTGGTGGTCACAACTTCAGAAAACGTTTCTCCCTTCAGCCTCCTAGAACTGCTCTCCAGGTGAGGAGGGTTGGGCTGGGCACCTGCTAGCTGGCAGGGGTCTGAGAGGAGGAGGAAATACACGCTCCAAGTGTTTCCTCAGGTTGGCCACTCTTCTGGGCGATTACTGTGGCTCCCTGGGCGAGGGGACCATCTCCCGCAATGTGGCTCTGGTCTACGAACTCCTGGATGAAGTGCTGGTGAGAATCAATGATCCCCTTCTGTGGCCCCCACCTAATTCCCCTGGAGATACATCTGCTCTTCTACTGTGGGATGCTGTGGTTAGGAGGCCAAGTCTATTTTTTTTTTTCCTTTTAGAGACGGTCTTGCTCTGTTGCCCAGGCTGGAGTGCAGTGGTGCAATTATAGCTCGCTGCAGCCTGGAACTCCTGGGCTCAAGCTATCCTCCTGCCTCAGCCTTCTCCCCTGTGTCCAGCTCATTGTTTATTTTTTGTAGAGACGGGAGTCTCGCTCTGTTGCCCAGGCTGGTCTTGAACTCGTGGTCTCAAACCATTCTCCTATGTCTCGGCCTTCCAAAGACCTGGGAGTACAAGAGTGAGCCACCATGCCTGGCCCCACTCCCCCTTTTTACCCCTTCCCTCCACTGACCACTTGGACTGTCCTTCCTTTACCACTAGGACTATGGCTATGTACAGACCACATCCACAGAGATGCTGAGGAATTTCATCCAGACGGAAGCTGTGGTCAGCAAGCCCTTCAGCCTCTTTGACCTCAGCAGCGTTGGCTTGGTCAGCAGAGGGAAAGAGGAGGGTGAGGAAGGAGAAGAGGGGTTGGCTGGGGTTGTCAGACCTGATGATTGATTGCTTTGGATGCTTTACAGTTTGGGGCTGAGACACAACAGAGCAAAGTGGCTCCCAGCAGTGCAGCCAGCCGCCCTGTCCTGTCCAGTCGCTCTGACCAGGTGAGGGAGGAATCCGTGGGGTCAGACCCTCTGGTTTTGCTCTGGGACCGCAGAGTCCAAGATCTTACGTTGGGGCGCAGTGGTTCATGCCTGTAATCCCAGCACTTTAGGAGGTCGAGGTGGGCGGATCACCTGATGCCAGGAGTTCGAGAGCAGCCTGGCCAACATGGTAAAACCCCGTCTCTACTAAAAATGCAAAAAAAAAAGAAAAAGGAAAAGATCGGCCAGGCGCGGTGGCTCAAGCCTGTAATCCCAGCACTTTGGGAGGCCGAGACGGGCGGATCATGAGGTCAGGAGATCGAGACCATCCTGGCTAACACGGTGAAACCCCATCTCTACTAAAAAATACAAAAAGCTAGCCGGGCGAGGTGGCGGGCGCCTGTAGTCCTAGCTACTCAGGAGGCTGAGGCAGGAGAATGGCGTAAACCCGGGAGGCGGAACTTGCAGTGAGCTGAGATCGGGCCACTGCACTCCAGCCCGGGCGACAGAGCGAGACTCCATCTCAAAAAAAAAAAAGATCTTGACACCTCTCCCACCTCCCCTAGATGTGGGTATCCCTTCCATCACCCATGTCCCCACCCTAGAGCTGTAGCTTTGACTGTCCTGTCCTTTCTCCCTGTCTGTCCATTTCAGAACATAGGCTATTCTGCTTCCAACCATCCAAACCCTCTCTCTTTCTCAGAGCCAAAAGAATGAAGTTTTTTTGGATGTGGTCGAGAGATTGTCTGTACTGATAGCATCTAATGTAAGTCTGAGCTCCCAAACCTGGAGCTGAGGACAAATGGGACTTGAGAAACATGGTGGGGTGGTTAAGACTCCCAGCAACGGCCACACAGTGGCTCATGCTTGTAATCCCAGTGCTTTGGGAGGCCGAGGTAGAAGAATTATTTGGGGCCAGGAGTTTGAAACCAGCCTGGGCAACATAGCCAGACCCCGTCTCTACAAGAAATACAAATAAACAAGTTACCCAGGCATGGTGGTGTACACCTGCTGTCCCAGCTACTTGGGAGGCTGAGGCAGGAGGATCATTTCAGCCTAGGAGGTTGAGGCTGCAGTGAGCCGAGATTGAGCCACTGTACTCTAGTCTGGGTGACAGAGCAAGACCCTATCTCTTAAAAAAAAAAAAAAAAAAGGCGGGGCACGGTGGCTCATACCTGTAATCCCAGCACTTTGGGAGGCCGAGGTGGGTGGATCACTTAAGGTTAGGAGTTTGAGACCAGCCTGGCCAACACGGTGAAACTCTATCTCTACTAAAAATATAAAAATTAGCCACGCATGGTGGCAGACATCTGTAATCCCAGCTACTTGTGAGGCTGAGGCAGGAGACTCTCTTGACTCTGGGAGGTGGAGCTTGCAGTGAGCCGAGATCACGCCGCTGCCAGCCTGGGCGACAGAGCGAGACTGTCTTAAAAAAAAAAAAAAAAAAAAAAAAAAAACTCTAACCTTGATCCCCCTGCCTCTCAGGGCTCCCTGCTGAAGGTGGATGTGCAGGGAGAGATTCGGCTCAAGAGTTTCCTTCCCAGCGGCTCTGGTGAGGCCTCTGCAGGCGGGACCCAGGGTTGGGGTTAGGGCAGGTTCCTTGGTGTGTTAAACCGTGGAGTTTGCTGAGCTCCCCTGATGTTCTCTCCTCCAACAGAGATGCGCATTGGCTTGACGGAAGAGTTTTGTGTGGGAAAGTCAGAGCTAAGAGGTGAGGAAAAAGTGGGTCTTTCTCCCCTTGGAGTAGGTCATTGCTGGAGAGTTCATGGAGGGAAGTCAGAGATGGAGCCTCCCCACTTCTTGCTCCTCTCCCAAAACATGGGTCAGGAGAGAAGTCTCTCTCTCTCTTTCCAGGTTATGGGCCAGGAATCCGGGTCGATGAAGTCTCGTTTCACAGCTCTGTGAATCTGGATGAGTTTGAGTCTCATCGAATCCTCCGCTTGCAACCACCTCAGGGCGAGGTCAGGGTTGGGGTGGCCTCATAAATTCCATCCACCATGGGGAAGGGGGGCAGTGGGGGCATGAGACCAAACTAACCTTGTTGCTCTCTGGTCTCTCAGCTGACTGTGATGCGGTACCAACTCTCCGATGACCTCCCATCACCGCTCCCCTTCCGACTCTTCCCCTCTGTGCAGTGGGACCGAGGCTCAGGCCGGTGAGACCATTTCCTGGGTTCTAGAACTACCTTGGAACCCAAGCCGAGATCTGTATGTTCCCAAGACTCACTGCAGAGTAGGGGTGGTGGTAGTGGTGATGAAGTGCAAATTGGAAGAAGGCTTGGGCTGGGCGTGGTGGCTCACACCTGTAATCCTAGCACTTTGGGAGGCTGAGATGGGAGGATCACTTGAGCCCAGGAGTTCCAGACCAGCCTGGGCAACATAGCGAGACCTTGTCACTCTGAAAAAAAAAAAAAAAAAAGGAAAAAGCTTTGGCTAATGGAGTTGGGCTGGACTTCAGCCCTTTTCTCTCTTGGGGGTACAGCCCATACCCACACAGCCCCGCATGGAGGCCCCTGGTGAGGAATGGTGAGATGCCAGTAAGAGATGGCCTGAGTCATGGTGTTTTACCCTCTCATCCAGGCTCCAGGTTTATCTGAAGTTGCGATGCGACCTGCCCTCAAAGAGGTAAGAGTGAGGCCGGCGCCTGGCCGAGTTCAGCTCTGTGGGACAGGAGACAGGGCCAGGGCACCTGCTACTTCTCCCTTCAGATGCAGCTGCCAGCCTCAGAATCCAGTTAAGGTAGAGGCTGTAGCATTTGGGAAGGTGGGGGACACCTGTGCTGAAATCCTGTTGTGACATTGAAGAGGAACAGGACAAAGGACCGTGCCTTCCTGGGGCTGACTTTGTTCCTGTCTCCTCTGTAGCCAAGCCCTCAATGTCAGGCTGCACCTTCCCCTGCCTCGAGGGGTGGTCAGGTGAGTGTGTGCACCCACCATGGGGAGATTCCTGGGGAGAGAGTGAGCTCAGCACGACGGGCCTGCCCCAAGAAGGCGCCAAGCCCAGCACCTTCCCTTTCCAAACTCCAGCCTGTCTCAGGAGCTGAGCAGCCCAGAGCAGAAGGCCGAGCTGGCGGAGGGAGCCCTTCGCTGGGACCTGCCTCGGGTGCAAGGAGGCTCTCAACTCTCGGGCCTTTTCCAGGTATTCGCTGTGGACCCCCGGCCCCTCTCCTCCCACCATCACTTAACAGCCCCCCTACCCTCCCGAAGCAGTGCTGCCTGGTCCCCCCAGCGTGGTCAGCTTCCTGCCCTCTTTCCTCCCCCTGCCTCTGCCCCTCACAGATGGACGTCCCAGGGTCCCCAGGACCTCCCAGCCATGGGCTCTCCACCTCGGCCCCTCCTCTGGGTCTGGGCCCGGCCAGTCTCTCCTTTGAGCTTCCCCGGCACACGTGCTCCGGCCTCCAGGTTCGATTCCTCAGGCTGGCCTTCAGGCCGTGCGGCAATGCCAACCCCCACAAGTGGGTGCGACACCTAAGCCACAGCGATGCCTACGTCATTCGGATCTGAGGCTCCCCAAACGAGGACACGGCAGCCAAGGCGGCAGTTTGTCCCACGGAAGGACAGTCTTTTTCTTTTCCAGCCTCCTGGTCTTGGGACTCTCAATCTGGGCAGGAAGAGTCCTCAGTCCCGAGAGACCAGGAGGGGCAATGGGCCCAGCCTCTCTGTGGTATCTGATGCAGGAAGGACTGCAGTGGATCGGAACTTACAAACCAAACTTTTATTCTGAGGAACTGACTGTACAATATCTAAAAAGAAAGTGACATGAAAGGAAGCAATCTACAACTTCCTTCCGCTTAGTATGCATGCACGTGTGTACATGTCTGCATGTGTGGGAATCCGGGGGCTGGCAGGTGGAGCATCACGAAGCAGGCTGAGGGGAGCCAGAGTTGGGGGGCTGGGAGCCATTCGCTTTTGGAGTCCCTGGAGCTGGAGGGGGACTGTCCCCAGCTTCCTGCTTCCCCCCGCAGAGGGCACTGCTGCTGAGTGGAGAGGGGGACGATGCCGGTGGAGGAACTGGAGAAGGATGGGAAACGGGGCCTCCTTTGCCCTCCCCTGTTGGGGGAAGTGAGACCACAATATACTTCTGGACACTCCCGGGACCAGAGGGAGCAGTGCTGGGGGGTGCGGTGGTGGCGGTGGAGACCAGCTTGACGATGGGCTGCACACTGGGGACGGTGGTGGTGACGGGCGAGGTGGTGGTGGAACCTGAGCCAGGGGCCGAGGTGCTGAGGGACAGGACCTGGATAGAAAGGAAAAGCGGGTCCGCTTGCCCTGTGCCCTCCCTGCCCCTCAGAGGCCTGGCGGGGACACTTCACTTGCTCCCTGCCTGAACAAGTTATTCCTGTAGTTGACCCCATAGACAGCTGTGGCTGGAGACCTTGCTCATGCAGGGCAGCTACGGCCCTGCAGGACCATGGTGGGTGCCTCTTTCAGCTCCTGACTTTGGGCCCAGAGGGGACTGTGCTCTACTCCTGGGCCTCCCCAGGGTGCTCTGAGGCAACCTGGGCCCTCCAGATGCTCCCTGTCCCACACAGCTCTGCATACCTGCTGGGTGGATGGGGCGCTGGAGGACGACGACATTACAATAAACTTGGTTGGAGGAGGTGAAGGCTGTGGTGGGGCAGCTGCTCGCGCAGACACCAGTGTCTGGACAGGAAGTGCGATGGAGCCAGGAACCTTCAGCAAGCCAGGGGTGCGAGGGCCAGGCTGCGGGGCCTGCGAGAGGGTCAGCGTGGGCCGGGGCTGTGGGGAGAAGAGGAAAGGGGACGTGGCAGCATCTACTAAGAAGAGTCTGAAGGGAGAGGCCTGGGCTCCCCTTGCTCTTAGTGCCTCTCACTGGGGCTGGGCATCCTCACTCAGGGCCTGGTTGCCCTGAGACTGCTGACTTGGGGCCCACGTGGCTGTGTGAATGCCCGTCCCACACTGGGGTCCTCCTCCACTTCCTATTCCTCCCCACCCGGCCACGGACCTGCGTGATGGTCAGAGTGGTCCTGTTGACCTGCTGAGCCTGCAGAGCAGCCTGGGCCCGAGCCTTGACCACATGGGAGCAGAGGAGGGGCCCAAGGGACCCGAATTCTGCCCGGTAGGCATCCTGATTGTCAGGCGGTGGGCGCAGCTTTGCCAGAACAGGGGCACAGTGTTTCTGCAGACAAAAAAAAGCCAGGTAGAGGGAGGGCTGGTGACACTCTGAGAAGAGCCTTGGGGATGCAATAAAAAAGGACATTCCTTATCATCTCAGTGACCCTGATGGAGGCCAAACCATGCTGAGCTGTTAGTGTGTGTACAGAACACTGGGCTTGCTCAAAACAAAAGATGGGCACGGGGCCAGGTGCGGCATCTCACGCCTGTATCCCAGCACTTGGGAGGCTGAGGCGGGCAGATCACTTGCGGTCAAGAGTGTGAGACTAGCCTGGCCCAAATGGAGAAACCTTGTCTTCACTAAAAATACAAAAACTAGCCAGGCATGGTGGCACGCACCTATAGTCCTAGCTACCAGGGAGGTTGAGGTACTAGAATGCTTGAACCCAGGTGGTGGAGGTTGAAGTGAGCAGAGGTTGCATCACTACACTCCAGCTTGGGTGACGGAGTGAGACTCAGGAAAAAAAAAAAAAAAAAATGGCTGGGCGTGGTAGTTCATGCCTGTAATTCCAGCACTTTGGGAGGCTGAGGCTGGCAGACCACCTGAAGTCAAGAGTTCGAGACCAGCCTGGCCAACATGGTGAAACCCTGTCTCTACTAAAAATACAAAAAATTAGCCAGGCATGGTGGCACATGCCTGTGGTGCCAGCTACTCGGGAGGCTGAGGCACAAGAATCGCTTGAACCTGAGAGGCAGAGGTTGCAGTGAGCCTGAGATCATGCCACTGCACTCCAGCCTGGGTTACAGGGTGAGACTCCCATCTCGAAAAAGAGAGAAAAAAAAATGAAAACATGGGCACTAACATGTGAATGAACTTGCTAAATACTGTGGCAGGACAGTTAAGAGGGCATTTTCTTTGTACAGAGACCACACAGTAACACAGGAGCATTGGGGAAGGATGGTCCAAATGCCAAAGGCTGAGCATGTGAGCCCTTCTTTCTTTTTGGAGGAGTGGTGGTCTCCCTCTGTAACCCAGGCTGGAGTGCAGTGGCACAATGATAGCTCACTGCAGCCTTGAACTCCTGGGTTCAAGCAGTCTTCCCACCTTGGCCTCCCTAGCAGCTGGGACCACAGGCACATGTCACCACTCCCAGCTTTTTGTTTTTCGTAGGCGGGGTCTCGCTACATTGCCCAGGCTGGTCTCCTAGGCTCCCAGAGTGCTGGGATTACAGGTGTGAGCCACCGCGCCCAGCCAGCCCCCTTATTTTTTACTCAGCTTGAGTCTCAGTCTTTCCATCTGTAAAATAGTATCAGACTTTGCAGTATGTTCTGAAAACAGGAGGCAAAGATGGGAGTAGGTGAATAAAATACGCCATATGCTTGCTAAACGCCGGCTGTCTCTCGGGGGGTCGGGGGCGCAGGTGCAGGGACAGGGGCTTCAGTTACCAGCAGAAGGCTCTGCACATGGTCTGCTCCAATCCGGTCAATGTTGCTCAACACAGGGCCGTCCAGCACACTGCGGATCCGCTCCCCTTCCTGCTGTAGCCGGGGCAGAATCAGAGTCTTGATAACCTGTTGGAAGGGAAAGGAAGAAACCAAAGCCGGAGGGTCACCAGGGTCTCCCAGGTGGGGGCACAGTGCCCTCTATAACCTCATGACTGCGTCCCCTCCCCCATTTCTTCCTCCCAGAGGCCTAACATCGTGTCCCAGCTCAGCCAAGCCTGCGATGGAGCCATAACGAGTCGTCCAGGGCGTCTTCTCGTCCACCCAGCTCTGTAAGGGGAAGGAAATAAACTAAGATGAAGGGGTCTGAAAGGATGATTGATAGGGACCCACGTCTTTCATAGACACTTTCCTTGTAAATCATTAAGACATGACAGTGAGGCCAGGCGCGGTGGCTCATGCCTGTAATCCCAGCACTTTGGGAAGCTGAGGCAGGCAGATCACCTGAGGTCAGGAGTTCGAGACCAGCCTAGTTAACATGGTGAAACCCTGTCTCTACTAAAAACACAAAAATTAGCCAGTTGTGGCCAGGCACAGTGGCTCACACCTATAATCCTGGCACTTAGGGAGGCCGAGGCAGGCAGATCACCTGAGGTCGGGAGTTCTAGACCAGCCTGACCAACATGGAGAAACCCCGTCTCTACTAAAAATACAAAATTAGCTGGGTGTGGTGGCACATGCCTGTAATCCCAGCTACTCAGGAGGCTGAGGCAAGAGAATCGTTGGAACCCAGGAGGCGGAGGTTGCAGTGGGCCGAGATCGCATCATTGCACTCCAGCCTGGACAACAAGAGCAAAACTCCGTCTCAATAAATAAATAAATAAATAAATAAATTAGCCAGTTATGGCTGTAGGCACCTGTAATCCCAAGTACTCAGGAGGCTGAGGCAGGAGAATTGCTTGAACCCAGGAGGCAGAGGGTGCAGTGAGCAGAGATCGCACCACTGCACTCCAGCCTGGGCAAGAGTGAGACTTCATCAAAAAAAAAGGCATTACAGACAAGCCTCAAGGCCCTTAGACCCCAACAAGTTCCAGTCCCTCTTCCCTCTGCCCTTGTTTCCACTGTGACTTCCCCCAACCAGAGGTGGCCAGTGATGAAACCAATGGTGCTCAAGTTTCCCTGGCTCACCTTGGTGAAGGTCTTGGTGATTCGGGACTGGATGTTGTTAGTGGTTGTGCTAAAATGCTTGCAGATCTGGGCCACCAGGCGGGCAGCAAAGTCTCGGAGTGCCCAGTGATTGTCCACATCTGGTCGCAGGCACAGCTGTCTGCTCACGATGCAGGTCATCACAGCCGGAATCAGCTCATGGACCTAAGGGAGAAAGGGTGGGGCAGCTGATTCCGGTTTTGTTTGTTTGTTTGAAACAAAGTCTCACTCTGTCACCCAGGCTGGTGTGCAGGGGCACAATCATGGCTCGCTGCAGCCTCAATCATCCAGGCTCAAGCAATCCTCCCATCTCAGCTTCCCAGGTAGCTGGGACCACAGGCGTGCACCACCATGCCTGACTAATTTTGTTTTTGTTATCTTTTTTTGTAGAGACAGTAGTCCTACTACTATCCTCAGGTTGTCCTCAAACTGCTGAGCTCAAGCGATCCTCCCACCTTGGCCTCCCAAAGTTGCTGGGATTTCAAGTGTGAGCCACCGCTGACCACTGACTTCCTGTTGGTGGCAGCAGGGTCCCTGGAAGGGAAGGTGGGCAGGACCACTCACGTATTTTTCTAGATAGAGCGTGGGGTTGTCCATCAGCGCCTTCACCATACGCATCAGGTAGATGAGTAGGGCCAGGTTGTTCTGAACCACATTCACACGGACCTGCGGGAGGGAGGAGTGCTGGGCATGGGGCAGGGAGACCCTCACAGGAGCTTCCGCTGCCGTCCCTGCACAGTGGACCCTCATGCTCTCACCCCCTCCGAGATGAAGGTACTGAACCGTGGCAGCATCTGATACAGCCCGGGGTCCGTGGCAATGCTTTGCAGGGCTTCCTGTGGGAGGAGGGAAGCCAGTCAGGTGGGGGTAGGATGTGGGGAGCAATTCATAGGACCCCCACGAGGAGGAGTCTCAGGGCCAGGGCAGGCTGGTGGGGCCCTCACCGCCCTCTTGGCCTCGCAGGAGCCCACACAGGCCTCGGTGATCTCCTTGTAGTAGAGCTGCTGCTCCACAGACAACTCATGGATGCTCCGGGGCTTCAGTCGCAAGGGGGCCCCCTCCAGCAAGGGCGGTGCCTTCTTCTCTTTCCCTGTGTGATTGGAGAGGTGGGTCTGACAAAGAAAGCTCCAGAAGAAACCTCAGTAACAGAAGAACCTTAACCCTCCACTTCCCCTGAGACTCAGGAGACCCGGCTTCTTCTTAGGCTTCCCCATCCTTTCTGGGGCTCTCTGGCCCTGACCTCAGCCACTTCACCAATGGCCACATGGAGGCTTGGCATGGTGGCTCACACCTGTAATCCCAGCACTTTGGGAGGCCAAGGCAGGCGGATCACATGAGGGTGAGTTTGAGACCAGCCTGGCCTACATAGCAAAACCCTATCTCTACTGAAAAAAACTACAAAAATTAGCTGGGTGTGGTGGTGGGCACCTGTAATCCCAGCTACTCAGGAGGCTGAGGCAGGAGAATCACTTGAACCCAGGAGGTGGAGGCTGCAGTGAGCTGAGATTGTGCCACTACACTCTGGCCTGGGTGACAGAGTGAAACTCTGTCTCAAAAACAAAAAAAGGATACGAAACAAATGGCCACGTGGCTTTGGGCAAGAGTCCAGAGAGGCCTGGCCTAGGAGGACTGACCTTTGCCGTCGGCTGCGGTGGCCCCTTGACCTTTGCCCTTCAGGGGTCCGTCTTCCTCTTGGCCTGGCTTGGCTGACTTCAGGGGTTCTGTGGCTTCGGCCTTCTGTTGCTCTTTGGGAGCTAGTGGGAAAGCAGGCACAGTGGGAGGCGTGACAAGAGTAGCAGGAAAAGTAAAGGGAGGAGGCTGGATGCGGTGGCTCAAGCCTGTAATCCCAGCACTTTGGGAGGCCAGGGCGGGTGGATCACCTCAGGTCAGAAGTTCGAGACCAGCCTGGCCAACATGGTGAAACCTCATCTCTACTAAAATTACAAAAAATTAGCTGGGCATGGTGGTGTGTGCCTGTAGCTCCAGCTACTCAGGAGGCTGAAGCACAACAATCGCGTGAACCCAGGAGGCAGAGGTTGCAGTGAGCCGAGATTGTGCCACTGCAGTCCAGCACTCCTGCACTCCAGCACAGGCAACAGAGTGAGACTCCATCAAAAAAAAAAGGTGGAAGGAGGGGGAAAGGGACCCAGAGACCCAGAGGGTGGGGCATAGAGGTTACCTGGGGGTGGGTTCTCGGGGATAGCTGGCTGGCAGCCCTCGATGCTCAGCCAATGAGCTGCAAGGAAGGCAGGTGTCAAGGTGAATTGCCGCGCATGGACACTGGGGAGTTGTTCCATGCATGTTTCCACTCCTGCTCCCCTTGCAACTCACCAGGGATCTCACGCTGAGCTTTTCTTCTATTGTGAGGCTACTCACACCCACACGCATCTGTCCTCTTTTCCCTCCTCCCTGCCACCCTGCTCTCCCCTCCCCCAACCTTTGAGGCAGACGTCCAGGGGCACCCGGGGCAGAGGGGTATTGATGATGTCGCTCAGATCAACCTCCTTCTCCTCGTAGAAGTAAAGCTCCCGGCCCCCACCAGAGGCGAAGCGGAAAGGAATGAACTCCTGGGCGTGGAAGCCATAGAGTGGCTGTGGCAGGAGAGAGGGGCACAGGTGAGAAGGGAGCCGGAGGAGACCTGGCTGAAGGATGGCGCCTCACCCCAACCCCATCGCCCTGTCCCCATCACCCGCCCCCTGCCTGTCTCCCCAAATCACCTCGACATTCTTTAGCTTCAAGGCATAGTCAATGTCACTGGTGGTGAGCTTCTGCCGCTTCCCCATGTGCATGAACTTCAAGGCATCCTGGGGTGGGTGACAGAATAGACATCAGCCCAAAATCCTAAGGACGGGGCCCCGGGCGACATCCTGGACCCAGCGTGGAGCTGGACAGAAGGGCTGGGTCACCTGTGCAATCTCTTTGATGCGGTAGCTGACCTCATCCGTCAGCAGCTGGCAGGTCTCCTCCTGAATCTGGGCGATGCCCATGGATTCAGCCACCACCTTCATGGACTCCGAGGGCAGCACGGTGTTGCTAAGCTTCAGCTTCTTCTCCTCAGCCATTCTGGAGTCCCTCTTCTCCCTGGAAGGATGAAGCCCCCGGTGGAGAGACGGAGACCCTGGCAGAGGAATGGGGCAGGCAGAAGAAAAAGAAATGTGAGGCCGGGCGCGGTGGCTCAAGCCTGTAATCCCAGCACTCTGGAGGCCAAGACGGGCGGATCACGAGGTCAGGAGATCAAGACCATCCGGCTAACATGGTGAAACCCCGTCTCTACTAAAAATAATAAAAAATTAGCCAAGTGTGGTGGCGGGCACCTGTAGTCCCAGATCCGGCCACTGCACTCCAGCCTGGGTGACAAAGCGAGACTCCGTCTCAAAAAAAAAAAAGAAAGAAATGTGAGACACGGGGACGGGGCCAATAAAGGGAGGACAGTGGGGAGAGGGGAGGAACTCGGGGTGCCTTCTGTCCATCCCCACATGAGTTAGCCCTGAGGTGTAACAGAGAAAGATAGAAATCTGGGCTGGTGCCAGGTGCCGTGGCTCACACCTGTAATCCCACCAGCACTTTGGGAGGCCAAGGCGGGCGGATCACTTGAGATCAGGAATTCAAGACCAGCCTGGCCAACATGGAGAAACCCCATCGCTACTAAAAATACAAAAATTAGCAGGGCATGGTAGTGCACACCTGTAATCCTAGCTGCTAGAGAGGCTAAGGCAGGAGAATCACTTGAACCCAGAGGGCAGAGGTTGCAGTGAACCAAGATCATGCCACTGCACTCCAGCCAGGGTGACTCCGTCTCAAAAAAAAAAACAACTCTGGACTGGGCCTAGTGGCTCATGCCTGTAATTCCAACACTTTGGGAGCCCGAGGTAGAAGGATCACTTGAGCCCAGTAGTTCACAACCAGCCTGGACAACACAGCGAGACCCCATCTGTACAAAAAATACAAAAATTAGTTGGGTATACAGGCACACGGCTATAGTTCTAGCTACTTAGGAGGCAGAGGTAGGAAGACTGATAGAGCCCAGGAACTCCCAGGCTCAAGCAATCCTCACACCTCAGCCTCCCAAGTAGCTGTGACTATAGGTGTGTACCACTGTGCACAGCCAATTTTTTGGGGGGGCGGGCAGAGACAGAGTCTCACTATGTTGCCCAGTCTGGTCTTGAATTGCTGGGTTCACGCAATCCTCCTGCTTCGCCCTCCCAAAGTGTTGGAATTACAGGCCTGAGCCAGCAGGCCCAGCCCAGATTTCTGTCTTTTTCTGTTACACCTCAGGGCTTCAATCCCAGCACTTTGAAGTCTTGGGCTCAAGCAATCCTCCAGCGTTGGCCTCCCAAAGTGTTGGAATTAAAGGTGTGAGTTGAACTGCCTGGCCCAGGCTCAGCTTTCCATTTTTTTTTTTTTTTTTTTGAGACGGAGTCTCGCTCTGTCGCCCAGGCTGGAGTGCAGTGGCCGGATCTCGGCTCACTGCAAGCTCCGCCTCCTGGGTTCACGCCATTCTCCTGCCTCAGCCTCCCGAGTAGCTGGGACTACAGGCGCCCGCCACCTCGCCTGGCTAGTTTTTTATATTTTTTAGTAGAGATGGGGTTTCACCGTGTTAGCCAGGATGGTCTCGATCTCCTGACCTCGTGATCCGCCCATCTCGGCCTCCCAAAGTGCTGGGATTACAGGCTTGAGCCACCGCGCCCGGCCAGCTTTCCTTATCTTCACAGTAATGCCATCCGTCCAGACACTTGTTCTTTATCTGAGCCTTCACAACAAATCCACCAGGTAGGCCAGGCGTGGTGGCTCACGCCTGTAATCCCAGCACTTTGGGAGGCCAAGATGGCTGGACCACTTGAGGTCAAGAGTTCGAGACCAGCCTGAGCAACATGGTAAAACCCTGTCTCTACTAAAAATACAAAAATTAGCTGGGCATGGTGGCGCGTGCCTGTAATCCCAGCTACTTGGGAGGTTGAGGCAGGAGAATCACTTGAACCTGGAGGGTAGAGGTTGCAGTGAGTTGAGATTGTGCAGCTGCACTCCAGCCTTGGCGACAGAGAGACTCCATCTCAAAAAAAAAAAAAAAGATAAAAAAATAAATCCAACTGGGCACGGTGGCTCACGCCTGTAATCCCAGCACTTTGAGAGGCCAAGGTGGGTGGATCATGAGGTTAAGAGATCGAGACCATCCTGGCCAACATGGTGAAATCCTATCTCTACTAAAAATACAAAAAATTAGCGGGCGAAAATCCTAGCTCTACTAAAAATACAAAAAATTAGCCGGCAACATGTGGCACCGCCTTGTAGTACCAGCACCTCGAAGCGAGGCCATGAGAATCGCTGAACCTAGGCAACGCGCGGAGTGCCAGTGAGCCCAGAGTGCCCCCTGCACTCCAGCCTGGCACAATGAGACTCTGTTCAACAAAATCATCCATTCAGGCGGCTGGGCGCCGATGGCCACCGCTTAATACCCAGCCACTTGGCAGGCCGAGACGGGCGATCACGAGTCAGGAGAGTCGAGACCCATCCTGGCCTCACACGGGACAACCCCGTCCTACCAAAAAACCAAAAAACTTAGCCGCGCGTTCGGTGGCGCGCCTTAGTTCCCACTATCGTAGGCTGAGGCAAAATGCGATGAACCCGGGAGGCCGAGCTTTGCATGAGGCGAGATGCACCACGCACTCAGCCTGGCGCGACAGACGCGACGACTCCGTCCAAAAAAAAAAACAAAAAAAAAAAAACTC